AGCCACAGAGCCACCCCTCGGCCCCGGTCTGTGTAAGCGCGCGCGACCGTACCGTTGTGGGCAGACGGCGAGGCGGCCGGCCTCGGCTCCTCACCCTCCGCGCGGGGATGGGCGTTCTCCTCCTCCAGAAGCCTCGTCCTGCTGGGGGGGGCGGACACGGACACGGACACACAGCCCGGGGAGAAAGGAGGACAGGTGAGTTCGGATCCCGTGGCGTTTTCCGGGGCTCGTTCCCGGGAACAGCCACCGAGGCGGGAAGGAGCAGAAGTGGTTTTACAGCCGGGTTTTTCCCCCCATTTAGATCCCAACGGGATGGGCCGCGGCGCGAGAGGGGCACGCCTCTGAGCCTATCCCAGCAAGCAAGGGGGCAGGACGCAGACGGACTGGGAAAAAAAATCAACCGGCCTTAAAGTTGGAAACGCATCCGCCAACTGGAAGCAAGGATATTTCAGCGGCCATCGAGACTTTTAAAATCCCTCTGACCTGCACTGCGCGCATCACGGTACATCGCTGTGCTGAGGAAACCTTGAACTTCAGGACCGGTTTCGCAGACGTCATCGGCGCGAAAGCAGAGCCAAGCCTTTCAACTGCGGCAGCGAATCGCAAAGCCAGGTGTCAGAATCCTGTTCGCTTCCCATCCTTTTCCTTCTTAATGGATTTCAGCCCATTTCCAGTTTAAGAAGGGGCATGGGGCGTGGGTCTTCTACCCCCCCCTCCCCCCCCATCGCCGATGCCTGGCTGTCGGTTTCCCCCAAAATACAGGCGTCTCTGCTGGAACACGATTGTTGCGTTCCTGTAAAACCTCATGTTGTGCAGAATCGCGCCATAAAAATAACAGGGCTTATGGGAAAAAAAAGGTAGCCGTATACAATTTCTTGCATTAGGAAAGTGTCTTTTCACAGACCCCAGCTTGCTCTCCAGGAGACACACAGACAGGGAGAGAGAAGCTGGGGGGTCAGAGCGCAGGGTCAGCCATTTATACAGCGCCCCTGGAGCAGCTGGGGGGTGAAGGGCCTTGCTCAGGGGCCCAATGGAGCACCCTGGGATTTTTAACGACCACAGAGAGTCAGGACCTCGGTTTGACGTCTCATCCGAAGGACGGCGCCTGTTTACAGTCTAGTGTCCCCCGTCACTATACTGGGGCATCAGGACCCACACGGACCGCAGGGTGAGCGCCCCCTGCTGGCCCCACTAACACCTCTTCCAGCAGCAGCCTCAGCTTTCCCAGGAGTCTCCCCTCCAGGTACTGGCCAGGCTCCCACCTGCTGAGTCTCCAGTGGGGCTGCCAGTGGGGAGCTGCAGAGTGATATGGCTGTAAACATGTCCGGGAGGAAACCGCGTATAAACCAACATGAGTCTGACGTTATACAGACATCTCTCCCCCCCACCGTGTCCCAATCGCGTATGAGCCAATTTCCGGTTTGGAAACTCGCCTCATAGCAGAGATCACTGAACGCGAGGATTTCTGACACCACTGGGATTGGTGAAAATCACCCAAGGGATTAACAGGTACACTTGTGAGAAAGCAGTGACTTCTCCAGGTCCAGGGACCGCAGGAGAACTGTTCCACCCCAATGGAGGGCGAGATGGGGTTGGTTACCTGCTGTCCGGGGAGCTGAGATGCAGGACTTTGGGGCTCTGGGGGCTCCACGGAGCGGCCAGGCGTCTCTCCCCGTTGGGGTATTTACTGGACAGGGAGTCCAGCGTCCACGCAGAGCCCAGACCCCAGGTCCGGCTGTTCTCACTGGGGCTGACTGCAAGACCAGGGAGAGAAGCAAAGTGAAAATCACAGTCCGCCTCTCTCGCAGTGCGATCGCTAACAAGGAAGAGGTCCATAAGCTAAGGAGCTACCGCCTCGCTCTTCGGTCTCGGAGAGGGAAGATTACAAGACGGAGAACAGAGAGGGCACTTTACACAGAGAGTGGTGGGTGCCTGGAGCAGCCGGCTCGGCTGCGATGTCAGAGCTGACTCTCCACTAGCGTTAAAGGAGTAACAAGACCTCTTCCTCCCAGCTTTGGGGTCTTAAGGTTGAGAGACGCACCCCCCCCAACTCCATCGACGGACGTCTGTTGTGATCACCAAGGCAGGGGGCAGGTGTTGGCCCACGAAATACAGATACAGCTTTATTTGGGGCTGGAGACAGGAAAGGGTGGCCCTTGCCCCAATCTGGAGCTGTCCCCTCTATCCCAACCTTTCACTGCCCCACCAGAACCTTCGCTGACGAATCGATTTGGGTCGGGGGTTCAGCGGGCCGGGCTCAGGGTGATGGCTGTGTTTCCACAAGCCAGGGGCTCCCAATCCTGCTTCCGCGGGC